CGCCCAACTATCCATTCTTCGAAGTCTTTCTGAAAATGACTGATTAAAAGGTTTTGGACGACGCTCAGCAAGTTTCTGATTGGAACCATATGTCTATTTTTACTAATTAAAAAGTTAATTAGTGAATGTTAATTAATTAGCCGACTTATCGCAAAGATCAGGCACCCACATAATGGCTCCCTGGGCGTATAACTCACTCGCACAAACCGCATAAGTGTAGCTTTCATGGCTTTTTTTTTTAACAAATCCGCATGAATAAAAAAGACACCCTGTATAATATATATATATATATATTACTCCACGTAACTTGAGACAAGGTTCAAACACGTTTTGGGGCATATTAGGAAGACGAAACTAAACGAATAAGTTTGTTTATTGTTTGGAGCACGACAAGTTATTTTTTTTTTGTATTTTGCCCAATGAACTAATTAATTGAGATTAATCAATTACCTTTTAAAATATTCAATTCATAGCGAAAGTTCTAATGACGAAGTTGTGGAGCGTTTCCAGAAACATCGAATTCAGCGGTTTTTATCAACAAACCTCTAACACGATTCGTTTTTCCGAGCTTCAAAAAAAGTAATCGAATTATGAAAACAAAAACAAACAAAAAAACGCAAATTTGCCAACAGCGCCAAGTCAACAGTGCTGTATTCAGCATGCAGGCCTAGTTTATTCAAGCCACGGCTCGGAGCGTTAAATTACAAGCGCAAAGTCACACGCATTTTTTTAATAATTCGCAAACGCTTTTCGAAGTCCTTAAAAAAAGTGTAAGGTTTCTTGATAAAAACAACTGAATTGGTTCTTTCTAAGGACGATCTAGAACTTTAACTTTGAAATTTTTCTTTAAATTGAATATTTCAAAAGTTATTTAATTAATCTTAATTAATCAGTTAACTGGAAAAAATACAAAAATAGCCTGACTTGCTCCGAACAATAAAAAAAAATTATTATTTTGGTTTTGTCTTCCTGAAATGCACCAACATATTTTTAAATCTTCGCTTAAGTTACGTGGAATACCTGAAGTTACGTGAAATATATTGCTACACATGTAGGGCAGGAAGTGTCATTCAACTCTGTACTTTTTTTTAGACAGAAAATAAATTTGCCACTAAAACATCTGGTGGCTAAATGAAACCGTTTGCAGCATGGCGCCATGAGGAGCGAACGTGGCTTGGGTTCTTTTTATAGGACAAACCGACTGCCACGCATCATCCACTGGCTTAAAAGTGAAAATAAAAGTAATAAGCTACTACAAATCAAAACGACATGATTCTGTTCAGCGCCTACACGACAGGAAACGGCAAACAGGAAAGAACGACAGGAAACACAATACAGACGTTTTCTGCTTCCTGTTGTTCTCAGTACCGTGGGTTTCGTATCTGGTATGCGGGACGAAAAAAAGAATAATATAACGTTTGAACCTGGAACATGCGAGAAAATGTAGGTGAGGAAACAAAACAAGGATGTGTGGCAATCACGTATATTTCGTAGTCACCTTACGGCGGCGTGAAGAAGTCAAAACAATGTTTTACCGTATACCACAACTGACGACATTCAATCTGGCTGCGCCCTTGTGGAGAAAGTGTAAAGTAGAATATTGCACGTTGGAAGTTTCAGAAAAATAAAACTATTCGGAAGAGCATGGCAACAACGGTTTTTTCGGATTACGACTAGACTTAGATAATTAAAACACACACACGGGAACTATATTCTTTTTTAATGATATGCTCAATCATTGTGTTTATAAAACTAGTAAATACAATGACAAGACAAAAATAAAGGCTAGTTTCTTTTTTACTTCAGAAAAAAAAAGATTAATAAAGTCAATATTTAAAACACCAGGTGGTATGAAGTAACAAGAACATATATTTATTTACACTGAAAAACTTTGTTTATTATTGTTATGCAATTACTAAAGAAAGAAAAGGTGGAACAATATAAAGAGTCCATCAACTTGTCTGCAAGGACAAATTAGCTAGTATAGATTCCCGAAACCTGGGCAGCGAATACATTGCGTCATTACTAATACCTTTGAAACTGAGAAACCAATAGATAGAGATAAACGCACGTTATCCTAGAAACCTGTGCAGACAACCACCTTTCTTAGCCCCGCCGTAAGGCACATATGGCAACGTGGCCTTACCGTGTAAACAGATAACAAAATATTGGTGACCAACAAAACAAAAACACATTTTCGGCGACGTAAGCAATCTTTCAATAGCGGTACATATTCACAAACATGTTTGATTGTCGTTGGTGGGGGACGCTCTAGTGTAAGGACATTTATTACCAACATGTTTTGGTCTCTGGTGACGCAGGACGGTTAAAAAAGCCCAAAATGAAACAACAAATAATAAAAAAACCGGTTTTATTGCACCCCTTTAAAACTGTTTGCCGAACGTTCCTTTATACCTTTCGCATACCTTTCAAATCGTCGACAATTCGTAGTTTATGGTTGATATATTGCTCTGAGAGAGTTTCTGTTCTCTCTGGCGTTCCCCGGGGTTCTGTGCTTGGACCTCTCATTTTCTTGTTGTTTATTAATGATATAGTACAAGATGTTCCGGTAAAGATCAGGTTATACGCTGATCATTGTATAATTTACTCTGAAATAGCTAGTGCTTCCGATCAACTTTTGTTAAATAGAGTTTTTCAAAAAATCACGGAATGGTGTACGAAGTGGCAAATGACTATTAACTTTGAAAAAAACGGTTTTTATGAAATTACTTACAAAAGAAATCCTTTGAAGTTTGTTTACAATACTAATAATATTCTTCTATCAGAAGTAACACAAAATAAATACCTTGGACTATAGATCACTCATAATCCTACTTGGACAAAACAGATGGATTACGTAACATCAAATGTTCTTCGAAAGTTATTCTTTCTTAGAAGGACGCTAATACTTTCTACCCCTTCCTTGCGTCTTCTAACATATAAAGCTATAGTCTTGCCAATATTAGATTACGCGGCTACCATTTAAGATTCCTTCACCAAACTAAACATTAACAAGCTCGATCGTGTGCAGAAAAAGGCAGCTCGCTACATTTATAATAAATTTGGACGTACCTCTATAACTGAACTTTTAACCAGAGCTAACTTAAAGTCATTATCTCTCAGAAATCGGCAGTCTCGACTAAAATGTTTGTATCAATTAATTAAGGGGCATTACAGGATAAATCTGTCTCATTTAAGAAACTTCTCACCAGGCTACGCTACGTGATTGAGGCATGCGCTAACAATAACTCCTTTTCGATTGCATAATAATTGCTTCAAGTACTCTTTTTTTTCCGCGGCCGATGACTGATTGGAATAGCCTTTCTGAAAGTGTTGTTATGCAGCCATCATCGTCTTTATTTGAATCTCTCCTAACTTAGTTTTTTCTCTCTCTAAAATATTTGTTCTTTTGTTTCTGCGACTTGTCTGCTATTTTTGTATGCCTGCATGTCTTGTTAATCAAATGTACCCACCTGCTAAATCCCTTTCAGGGATTGCAGTATCAATAAATATAAAAATAAATAAATAAAATAGCCTAGAAAAAACAGGTAACAAAAAAGTAAGTGTAGCTTACCAAAAGATGCGAATCCAAATAGCTGCGTTAAACCCTTTCCTGTAATTATTCTCGATGCAGTGCAAATAAGTCATATCACATATCTCTGTTGTGACAGCCGCCATATGCAATCACGACAGAGCTATTCGCCTTTTTTTTTTTGGCAACAAACTCAGTGGCGCCGTCTATTCGGTAGCCCTGGCACATTTCTGGTTCGGATATATTTTCTCAATTTTTACGCATCATTCTTTCATCATAAGAGTGAATGATGTGAAAAAAAAATGAAAAAAAAAATATATATATTCGACCGTTTTCCGATAATAGTGCGTAGATTTAATCTCGGAACTGCTGTGAAACTCACCTTCTGGTTGGGAACCGGAAGGGTTTGAAGGCTATTTGCACACTATCGCCACCACGTTTTACCTCACACGAGAAAGAGAAAATAGTCATTGACAGGTTAAGGGTTCACGGGAAGCTCCTCCTATCTCTTTCATTTTAGCAGAGCGAACGCTGGAAAGAAGGATCTCTGCTAAAGTGAAAAGAGGAGGGAGGAGCTTCCCCCTGAACTCTTAACCTGTTGACGACTTGCTTTACTCACAGATCGGAATGCGCTAGAATTCAGGGTTACTACAGCAATTTCTCTATTTCCCTCTAGCAACTCCAGCTCACGGTAGTTATGGGACAAAAAAAAAATGCTTCCGTTATTGCGGCCGTTCATCTTAAAGCGTCAAGATTAAACTTACCATTCTCACAGGAAAACGGTCTGCACAATTTGTGCTTCTTTCATGTAAAACCGGAGTAACTGGGAGAGTAACGGGCGTCCCTCCGCGCCATATAACTTGGTCATACGTTTTCAACCTCGGCTACTGATGAATCTTTAGCATATTCAACAGACAATATCATGTTAGTTTGTGGGTACAATCTGCAAGTGACATAGATAGCTCCCAATTTAGTTGATCTTGAACCTTTCACACGCCATCCCCATTCCCACGGCTCTCCTTAATTGAAACAACTTTATTACACGTAAAGGTGACCTGAAGCGCTGTTGTAATATATGTTAACCCGCAACTAGAGTGCCTTCATGTGCGCTTCGCATAGAGTGATGCCAACTGCCTGTTTCCCTTTCCCACACCCTCTTCCACCGCCATTTTGTTTCTCTCATTGTTTCCCCGTGCGCCGGAAAGTGGCCTTTGTGTCCATCGGTAATCCCATCCGAGGGGGAAAATGCTAATCCTCCCTCCGTGGGTTCCACAACGCTGCTCCGAACTTCTGAGATAAAGTGCTTGCTTCCGGGAGGGTTATAAGCCCCACGGATTATCGCCGAGGAACAAAATGGCTGCTGGTTTGTCGGCGAGTGGTATTACAAAGGGTAGCATCACCCTAGCAAAGCGCACATGAAGGCTCCTTACCCGTAACACGTATGTTCATGTATATAGCTCTCCAGTACCTCTGTATTGGACGTCCGAGGCTGCCCCGGCACTGAGCGTCTTCATCTTTTGGCGCAGCAGTCCCCGAGCTCGCCGGGACAGTGAAGCGGCACCACGGTCTCCTGCCAAGGCATCAGCCGCCAGCAGCGAGACATAAAGCAGAACGACGAATCTGCAGTGGGTGCGTAGGAGATCATATAAATGGCAATGTTAAAGGGGTACTCCGGCGTTTTCTTCATAGTCCCCGATCGGCCCGAAACGTTTCTAAATACACCAACAAACATCGCTGAAATAGTAACCCGAATATTTGGCCAAAATATATATTTTTGTTTCGCGAAGTTATCGAATTTAGAATTTTGGTCCTCACCGTGTGTTTCGAAGTGAAAATCTCTATCGGCCCCAATGAAAAAGTGACGTCAGCTCAGCTGAAGGCAGTCGTTCACTCTTTGAACTGAAGACCAGACTTGTACGTAGTTCAACTACTCAAGTTACTGTAGTTTAATTTTCTGAGTAGCTTAGTAACTTTCGATTGCACTTTTTTTGATAATTAGTAGTTTACTTTAATTACTTTTTTTCAAGTAACTTCTACTCAAATTGTAAATTACTTTTGAATTTTAGTGGTAGGTTTGTTGGTCAATAAACATTCGCGCACAAAAATAGATAAGATGTTGGAAGATCAGCTGATATTTGCAAAGAGGGGAAAGCATGTGGCGTAGGCAGAAGTGGAGGAGTGGTTTGGAGGGTCCGAAACCCTCTAAAATTTTTCACGAGCCCCCCCCTACAGCAACCCTGCTACGAGGCCCGGGGAGCGGACAGACACGTCGCAAGTGAAGCCCAATAAATGCGGGATTATCGCCGAAGTCTGGCATTTCTTTGTGTACCGAATTGCTCAAGGAGGCTTGACGTATTTAAAGAAAGGGTTTGACCCCGCTTCTGCCCAACGTAGGAACTCTCGCCCTCTATAGGAGGCGTACACACTGCAGCCTCCCTAAAAATAGTCAACAATTAAGATGCAGCACCCGCTCTGAATCCCATCTGTTGCTCCCGTAGTCTGTGCTGTACTTGAAGGACAGCGTGCTAAAGGGCAACGCAAATCTGACCTCTTTGCGTTGCCTTTCCTCCCAAAACTCGGCCTATGCACATCGTCCAAAATTCAAAGATCGTTCAAGAAGCTTAATATTTCCCCCAACGTTTTTACATAAAAAAGCTAAATGGGGGAGCACTTTAAAGGACCCATGAAACGAATTTTGGGCTGGAGTAAATCAATTTATATTGGGATTTTACTAATAGCACATCGTTCAGTGGGCCAAAAGAACAAAGGTAGAAAGTCAGAAGCCTGACTTTCGCTACGAAAATTTGCAAAACATAGCGGACTATTTCGTACCTCCTTCGCTTCGTAAACTCTCCGCCTTTTCACTGTGATACATCCGCGGACCCCGCAGCGCGTCACCGGGCTACTAGCCACCATAACCGGGCCCCCGCAGCGCGTCACCAGGCCCAAGCACACGTCACACGACACCGGACCTCACTTAATCCCTTTACCCCTAAACTGACATTGCTGTGGAAGCTACGCGCTTGCCGGACCAATCAGCCGCCTCGCTTTCATCACCTGACCTCATTCTCTGCGGGTCGGTATGCGCGAGAGAGCGTGATCACGTGGAAAATGTGTGGCTGGCCCAACGAGCACGTAGCTTCCACAGCACTGTCAGCTTCGGGGTGAACGGGGTGGGGAAATCAACTAGTCGGAATTTTGAGCGACGGGGTAATCTTCTGGGGGGACAATGGCTGTGTCCGGGTACACAAGCGAGATTCCGAGCAAGAGGGGACTCCCCCCTTTAACATGGTACTTAAAGTACTATTTCAAATAAGATGGGAAAACTTGTACTTTACTTGAAGTACATTCTCAGAGTATGTACTTGTACTTTACTAAAGTATTTTCTGGTAATTATTGAAGAAAGTAAAATTCCCGACTTCAAAGTACGTTCCCCAAATTTGGAAACAAAAAATTGCGTATTGTCATGTGAAAACGTGCTATCTTCTTTCGAGACTTCATCTGGTCATTTCTCTGAGTGAAGTAATGGCTTCTATAAGACCGATGCAAATATGTGCCTTATCAGTATATTGTGTTAAATAGTTCGTTAGCGCGAGTAAAACAACTACTCTGTGGCGTCTTTACTGTATCCAATATTTGCCGCCATTTCTGAAAAAAAAAACGGATGGTCCTTCTAGTACCCCTGGAGCAATACATACCAGTTAAGTTTAAAAAATAGGGTATAAAAGGGTTTCGTGAAATATTGTGTTAAAAAGTATTTGTGCTTTACTTTACATGTTGTATTTACAGTGCTTTACTTCACGTACATTGCAACCGGTGTACTTACTATACTTCAAGTACATAACCTCTAGTTACTTTACTTCAAGTACCTTTAGATGTACTTTACGCAACACTGTAAACAAGCAAACTGTCTGCGAAATCAAGCTCAGGCAGTGATAAACCGCGCAGAGTAGAAATGATACACCAGCAGTAACTTATTGACCGGAAAACAAAAAGTATAAAACAATTAATCGCGCACAATCAGAACCAGCTATTAAACCATTTATGTGAAAACACGAGTAGCTTTATATTTGTCTAGCAGAATTTCGCTACCAGATCAAAACGTTTATGTACTTTCTTGTTGCTACAAAAATATAAAAGTAACTTCAAAAGTAATTCGCTAATTTTTATGGTAGCTAGTAATTTATTGAATTACTTTCTAGATCAGCAATTTCTACTCTACTCAAATTACTTTTAAGACGAGTACTCAGTAACTTGACTTAATTACTTTTTTTAGTAACTTGAATTTGTCTGCTGTAGACTTTGTTCCTGACTACAAGCATTTTCATTGTGTCAAATGAATGCTTAGGAAGTTCGCTCCAGCACCCCGCGCAGCTGCACAAAACAAATTTGTAGACTGTCTGCTCGACCTGCAAGCCTGCCTTTCACTGACGTCATGGCATTAAAAAGCGCGGGTACATTTGAATGCCGATTTTTGGCGTAATTTTCGCTAGCTGATTTCACAATAACTATTCTTATTTTCGCGATACTAAGTAGCATACCGGAATAGAAAAAAAAGTCAGGGATTCGGAAAATATACTTCGTTGAAATAGGTAAAAAAAAAACAAAAAAAAACGCTGGAGTACTTTTAAGAGGGCGAAAATCGGACATCAAAGATTTGTTTTTCTTTTCAGATTAAACAAGCGACGTGTTGAGCCGACCGGCCTAAATTATCTCCATACCAATGAGCGTGCGTGTGCATATTTTTATATTGATCTTTATATGGCATCCAACATCTTAAGAAACTCAGGGGACAGCCTATTATCTTTTCGCTTCTCGCTTCGTGATTTTTTTTTTCGCTTTCTTAGAGGCAAATGCAGCACTCTTATTGACTGAGGAGCTATTATTAGATACTCCGGACTCGTGACGTTCCTCGTTTGTTAAGTTGTCGTAATCGTAATCGTAATCATGATTTTGACACCAACGCGCCAAACCATTCACATTGAATGTATCTGCAGTAATTTGAGCTTTTAAATCGACATTGTGTTGCAAAATCTTTTATCACTAATTATTTTTAAATATATCTTTAGTTTTTATTTGGCGCGGTTAGATCAGTACACGGTATGAGGGCACATGTGTCCCTTTGTTCGGGAAAAGAACAACATTTTCGTTTATAAAATAGTGCAATTACCAAAAATATTGACGAGCATATTATAAATGAGAAATAAACAAACTGATTCTTGTGCGCAGTGAAAAGTCAAAATTATCGCGCTGCAACTGCTACTACGCTTTTTAACAGAAAAAAAAAGAAGAATAAAGTCAGTGCAGCTGAACTGTTGACTTTGAACATTGGTATATTGTTAGCATATCGAATACTTCAACTTAAATATCGCGCGGATTACGCAATCCTATAGCTTACCTCAGCTGCATCATGGTAGAAATAGTGATCTAGTTGATTGTAAGTGTGGTTCGTAGCTCAAGCAAGCTTTTATCTAGTTTTCCTGGTTCACCAGCTGCTTGGACACGCGCCACTGATGCGACATCGCGTTCGCTGAAAAGGTGGCCTGGGAGATCGTTTGTCAACGCTCCCAGCCATATGGATGCATCTGTTCTTTTTGCTCGCGTAAAAAAAACAAAAACAAAAAAAACTGAAATTAACTTTGATATTATAGGAAAGCCTAACGATAGAAAAAGGAAATATTCACTCTCATAGGTCACAAGAAAGGGGGGGGGGGGGGGGGCGAATCGTATCCCTGACCTCTTGTGCGTCGGGATTTCTTGGAGAGATAACGGCATGTCCACGTGGCATAAGTAAATTAATCAATGGCTTAGCATATCGATTCTCGCTGGGTATAGACGGTATTACCACTAAACTGTCAAAACTCACCGAATATTTCTCCAGCAGCTTTTTGGCTTTATTTGACCAGCAATCAATCGATGAACGAAGTGTGCCGAGGGAGTGGAAGGATGCGAATTCGGTGACTCCCGTTCACAAGTCTGGTACCACGTTATGAAATATCTATCCACAGATATCGCTTAGGTATGTCTCATGCTAATTTCCAAAGCATTTTATTTATAGACACATTATTTGTTTTCAATAACGATATCTCCTTTGAAGAACACCACGGCGTCACAATGATAAATCTTTTGAAACCCGACTGTTTGAACTAATGTCAGATCTTTACGACGATGTTCATTCGTTTCATCAGACCGACTTTTGGACTTTACAAAGGCCCTCGACTGCGTGCCCCAAGGACGATTAAAACAAAAGCCTGAATGGTTGAACATAGACTCCTCGAATATGCATTGGATGAGAGAGTTTTTATGTAATAGAAAACAATCTGCTGCAGTTGCAGACCCTTTCTCAACGAGTACGGATGCAAATTCCTGCGTGCCCCCAAGCTCTGCCCCCCGATCTTTCTTATTTATATAAATGATCTTCCGGTTGGTTTATCTTCATCGATTGGACTTTTAGCAAATGACTGCGTTTTATACAAAAAAAAAACTATAATGAATTTCTGATTTAGCAAAATGACATAAGCTCTATCTTTTCATGGTGTAGTATGGGCAAATACTTATTGTCATAAACAAAATCAAATTCATGACCTTATCAACGACTAAATTTCAAAATTTTAAATGTA